ATTTGATGACCTAGTACAATGTAATTTAATTTATTGTAGGTTAAATTGTATTATTTCATATCAATGTTTAAATTGAAAACATCTTAATAAGTAATGTAAACATTTATCATAACGTGAAATTTTAGGGGAAAATGTGAGTGAGGATGCTTGTGGATTTCAAATTATATTTTTAAAACAATAAAAACAGTAAAAAAAAAAAGTCAATTTGAAATTAACTTTAATTCAGATAAGTTGAGTGATAACTGAGAGGAAAGGTATGACACAAAATTAAATTGAAAACGCAACTGCTAAAACGTTCCTGTTCCTTTTAGGCTGCTCTAAAATTCTTGATCATTTTATTGATAAACTGCAAAAGATTAGAAATTTTATTCATGCATCATGTTGACAGATATGTTTTTAAATACAGTTTAGTGGATCTGTCAGTTAGAAACGACTCCTGTATCGGTCACATGACTTTCTTGAAATGACAGTGCTCTATGCTTGGGTTTTAAAGGATCCATCATTACTGCCAAAATGTCGTACATGCAGTAAAAACAATAATGAGGCAGATTTATCGGAGGTGTCAAGGGATGCAATAGTATGAATATATTTGATTATTTTACCACGACCATAGTGGTGTGGACAAACACACAAATCTGATGAGGAGGGGAGCTGAATCAGGACAGGATGTCTAGATTTGTTTTTTTATTTTACATTTTTGAAAAATGGATAACGGGTCATTTTGTTTCTCAATTTGTGGTTTCAAAACAAAAAACATTGTTTTTTGTTGTTTTTCTATGTCTTTATTTTATATGGAAATCAGAAAACAATTTTCTGAGTTTAAATTTGTCATTACTAAACCAAAATCGAATGGCCGGCATGTACATGGACCTTTTTCTTTTTTTTCTTTTGTTAATGCTCTTCTGTTAATGCTCTCCATGTCATTAAGAATGAAACACCTTCCTGCTATCGCTTTCAACACGTTCTTTACCTCCCTCCGTAGATTTTCTATCAGATTAAAGTTAGGCCTCTCTTTGGAGCATTTCAAATTGATCATGTTTATAAAATTAAACAGTTATTTCAAAATCTGCCAGGAATACCTTAGAAAAACGTAATGTATCTGGTTAGTTTATTGTTTCAAACCCTCTTCTGCGAGCTATCCAGAAAATGACAAAGGTGAAACTTTAATCTAGAATTAAACCTTGAACTTTTCAAACCTTGTCCATTAAATTGGAAGAAAGTGTGTTTTAAATATGGGTAATCTTCAGCATACGTATTGCTGATTTACTAATTTAACATATTAGAAGTCTTTTATTTTGTCATGCATGCCCTAAGGTGTTTATTTAGTTATTTTTTGTGTGTTTTTTTTTTTTTTTTGTGGTAACAGGGTCTCATAGGACCAACAGGTATACCGGGGCCTGCAGGGCCAAAGGGAGAGAGAGTAATTAACCATTTTATTAATTCTCACACTTGAAAGTATGTATAAAATTATTAGATTGTTAATGCATTTTACATTTTTTTTTTCATATTGCAACAGGGTGAAAAGGGAGATACAGGCATGCCAGGACCAATTGGCCTTCAAGGCATCCCTGTAAGTTGGACACTTCATTTTGTATAAAGCCACCGATTTTTCTCAAGTTATTGGCATCATTACTGAAAGTCTGTGTAAACATGGAGTTCAGCAACTTTGCCAACAGTTGTCAGTATTGTATCCAGTGGCGGCTGGTGGAGTTTTCTCCAGGGGGATCTACAGTATAGATTAAAAAAAGATGTATACCAAAAATTTATTGAACATATACTAAGTTATTACAGCAGTATATTTATTTGAATGCCAACAACAAAAAACATCATAAAAATACTTTATTTAAAAAAATATATAATTTCATGTACAGGTTTACTTTTTGTACATAAATCTTGCCTTTCTGATGCTTTGTGAAGGTAAATCTGTGTTTTACATGGTCCAATATGGCGTCACAAACCTAAAAAAATAATGTACCAGTTTAATTATGGAAAAGCTATTAGTCAACTTTATATTTTTGTTAATATATAAAAACTACTTTTTCTGAGAATGTGTTTATGTAGGAGTTCTGGATCTGCCGCGGGGTCCGCTAATCCGTGACCGCTGTATAGTTTTTACAATGTCCCTTTTTTGTTTTTTTTGTTTTGTACATTTTTTACTAGTGTTACATTGATGCCATTTTTTGGCCCCGATACCCGGCTGTGCACTATTGGCCGATGCTGATACCATCTGTTTGAAATTGATGTGTGTGTATCTATGAAGAACTGCATCCTACTTGGATGTAAA